CCCTGTGCTAGTGCACCGCCTGCACATGCGTAAATCAGAGCCTGGATACAATGTACATTATATTATTATAAGCTACCGCTAGTTCGACCACAGAATAGATTTAATCTACGAAAAATTAACTTATTAGTTATTACTGTATCGTTTTAATAGCCGGCAACCGATAGCAGTAGGTAGTCTTAAACTGTTTGGTATTTAAAATTTAAAAATATATTTATTATTAATATACTAATATTATCATTTGATGTTCATGAGCCCCTAGCGGCCCGGCGGCCCATATATTGAGCCGGCCCTGTGTGCTACGGCACACTAGCACAYCTGGCCAGTCCGCCCCTGCGTCGTATAGATTAGACGATTTAAAAACAGTTGTAACGTAAAATCTGCGATGGTAAAACCGAATTAAAATACTGAAATACCTCGGTGTGCTCTGACTCCCTATTCTTTCTTCTCATTTTTTAAAATYATCCCTAAGCGACTCGCTTCTCTGTGTGTTTGATCTTTGATCACACTCTATAGGCTCCAGCCAACTGTGCAGATTTCAACCATATATGCTTTTCTACTGTCCCGCCTAATCGGCTGAGTGCCGACGTCTTTTTACCACCATCGCACATACTCACATCCCAAACACATCTTGCCTTCAACTATCGAAATATTCKAAATCATTTTAAATTCTAGACTTCTTATATAAAATCGCTTTGTAACTAATTATCTAGACTAATTGTATAACTAAGTTTCAATAATAAAAAAAAACCTTAGTATTTTTGTRTTTATGTATTTATTATTATTTTTTTATTAAATTAATGGACATAAAATTTAAATGTATTAAATATGAAGTTTAAAATATTAAGTATGACTAGTATGAGTATGATGAATACAAATATACAATATCAAAAATACGAGTGATATAAGTTGCGGGCATCAGATATCATCTAAACTTAAGTGGCGAGAGAACAAAATACTTTTCTTGGCGGGCGTCAATTAACCGAGTACCATTTTCTCCGATTTTATTTGGTCATACTGCGTCTTTTACCAGTGCTTGGTTTTAAACCATGGTCCATTAATATTAATATTAAGGTTAAATTATGATAACATAACGGCCGCCCGTCGCGCTACAGTCGGCAACGTTGGAAACTACTAAACCATCAAAAGATTAATCGTCGACGTCATCCTTGTTCCTTCTTGTGAGCCACAATTGCCACAGCCGACGCGGTAGACCACTCGGCCACCTCGTCCCCCGACGAACGTATTATAAAATTAGTGACTATTGTGTAAAATAAAGATCTAGTCATATCAGTCATAATATCATAGGTATCATCGCGTTCATATTTTAGTAAACTTGAACGAATTGGAATATTTTATTGATTTTAAATGTTTCGTGATAATAGTCATAACTCATAATCAAATTTTGAAATGGTTATTGAATTAATTGAATATTATCTAGTTATGAGAATAAAGAGGTTCAAATGTTTTTTAACTGCTCACTAGAAGTCTTTTTATTAAATAATAAATTATGCTTTCTCGTGTTGTTTTTTTGTGGGATTWCATTGTTTAGCTGAATAAARAATTTTGTAAAAAKTTATGTCAATAAATCTATAATTATTTTTATATTGTTGTGTTACCCGGAAAATAAGTACTGTAGTACACTCATAYTAATATAAGTAAATAATATACAAATCCATACTTGAATATTAATTTAAGTATGTTTGCATATAAAAATTAAATATAGGTACCTACACGGTAAAAAAAATTAAAAATAAGTTATCTATCAAAAATGGAATATATATATAGTCAACTCCAWTTATTGTTGTAATACGTTGAATTAATGTTAGTATTTAAATTCAAAAAAAGGTAAAATAAGTGAAAAATTACTATAATGATTGATTATAAATACAATTGATTTATAATATTTACAATCAATGGTATAATGTAAGAACTTGGATGTTGGTATATTGATCATTAAAATGATGCTGAGTTTACCAACTAAATATTTAAAATATTAAAATACTAAGATTGACATAGATCAAATTAAATATACTTCATTTGATATATAATCAATTATCATAATTGTTTTTGTGATCACGGATAAGACTATAGATAAACTAAATCGCGGTTTGAAAATATCATAGAGTGAAAWGTGATWACCGATTACCTAATGAGTAAATAATGAGTTCGGATGGATCACTACCTTTTGTTCCACAAWTTTTTGTTCCTAGTCAACTTATTCCAATCATATTAATTTCCAAATTTTACTTTTGTTCCAATACCTATTTATCGAAAGACATTTGTTCCATATAAATTTCATCCAATTATATATTTTCACATTTACATTTTGTTCCGATGAACTTTTGACTTTTTGAGTTGAGGGCAGTAAGTTGTCCGAAAAATGATAAGGAAGTATATACCACTAGACGTACCAACTATTTACATATACCAGAGATCCAGCAGTGACACCAATACGAAATAATTTAGAGTGATGCATGTCAGTGATGCCATGCTAGCGGCACTCGTCGCTACGCTCCTCGGCGCCATTGCTACGCTCCGCAAATCGAAAATATCCCTCGACTTGCTGTGCAACGCCACCTCAAGTTGGTCACACTGTAACCAAAAGGTAACCATCGTACCTAACCACTCTTATTAACTTTCGGACAACTGCTTATCACTCTGAATTTTTTTGCAAACCATATTAGCAGCTGCAGCCTGCAATGCTGTTCTTATATATTTAGTTGAATTAATCCTATAACCAATTATTCCAATGATATTTGTTCCATAGGATAGTATATGCTACAAAAACATTTGTTCCAATATTCTCTTTATCAAATTAAATTTGTTCCAATAAGTTTTTGGGACAAAAGTTTTTGGAACAAATGTCTATTGGAACGAAATATTATTGAACATGTAATACGGTCATTATTAAGAATTTTGAGTTGGTAGCAATGCAATCCGAACAAGAACGAAATTGAACGAATGAACGAAAGAACGACTTTTTATTAYTTCACGATCCGGATTGTTTCGTTCACAAGTTTTGAGGTTTGACCCGTTCCRTAGACATAGAAAATAACTGTGACCCGTTCATTTTGATCCGTTCGTTCGCGTACGACACATCTCTGTTTTCACTAAACTCGACTAGAAAAGATGGCCGCTGGAAAGAAACAGGTACGTTTTTTAATACATGTTCATACGACCACTTTATGCTTGTAATTTTGTTCTGCGATGCTATGCGATAAACCACGTGTTATCGTTGCACCGCTGTTGGTAATGAAAAGGTTTTGGGATTAATTTATATCATTTGAGGTTCCTTATTTGATCATTTATTCAACAATGCACTTTTGGTTTTTATGACGGTTGAACACAATTCTTTTTTTCGAGAATACCTGCGTAATCTTAATATTTCATATAGGTAGGTAGGTACTCTAAAACAAACTAAAGTAAATTTTTCGTTAGCACTTTACATATTTATTTTAGATTTGATAATATAAAGCCGTTAGGTTTGTAATTTTAAGTATCGTTTATGATACAAACTTCTAAAGCATTTTCTCAATTTCAATATATTAAGTAGGTARGCACCCTCAATAATTTCAGACGTATTTATCATGGATAATAAACCAGTATTATAGAATGAGTTGGACTAAACGGAATTGTTATAAATTTATAAAGTCATTAAAATATTATGTAGTCCACAAGTGCATTGCTCAAATTTAATTTAATTTTTTAGTATTTTGCTTAGATTTTGTCTTAGGTGCACCATTATTTTAAGTTATTATTACCATATGTACATTTAGTTATTTTTAATTATTTTGATGTATATAATATTATTTTAAATACCTAAGAATCATTTTACCTGCCAATCAATAAGGTGGTAATTAATCATGTGTGTACAATGCATAAAAAAATATAAAAATACCATTTATTACTTTAACATACATTTTACAAAAATATCTCTTACCTTAATGCATTGTACATATTTTTTTAGGTACTTTTCTGTTATCCCTACTACTGTTACTCTCAATTCTGTTATCTAGACTACCTCACCGATGCCGCGACTACTCAATTGTTATTTTGACTTCTAAAGTACTATCCAGATAGTTCCGCATTTTAATACATAATACACATCATGAATTGCCATTTATGTAATAATGTATATTAGTATAACRTTTATTATTAGCAATCACATAAATTATCACAGCAGTGGAGAGTTATAGTATAAAACCACAATTTAAGATAGTACTAACTTAAATCGTGTATAAAACATAAAATAATCACAAAACGTCCAATTACAAATCCTAAAATTATCGCAGCAGTGGAAAGTTATAATAATATAAAACAAAAAGTCATCAAAATTATCAATTAAACGATTAAAAATAAATGTTAAGTGATAGTCGCAGCATCAAGCAGTAGTAGGGATAACAGAAAAGTACCTTTTTTATAATGTGTTCAAACAAATTGTTCTACAATAGCTTAAATTCTAATCATTAGTGATATATATAAAAATAAATCTAAAAAAATTTGGCTGTAAGCTAAATTTAACCAAGATGGTCTATTAAAGTTATCCTTTGAAGTATATTTATAAATATGAATTCAATAATCATTTATATGTTGGGTAWTAATGTTTTTGATAAGTAGTARTTAGTGCATTTAATTCTCTAAAGAATAATACCTATTGTTGTTTTCAATATGTTAATTAGATCATAATTTATTATTATTTTTAGAAAAAAGCTTTAGAAAGCATCAACACCAAGTTGGCTCTTGTCATGAAGTCCGGAAAATGTGTCCTTGGCCTGAAGCAATCATTGAAAACCCTAAGACAAGGAAAATCCAAGCTGGTCATCATTGCTAACAATACATCTCCATTAAGGTGAGACTGAGAAGTAGGAAACCCCTGTTTTTCATGGTTTTAAACATAYAATTTCCGATTTTTGGGGTTTACCTATGGAGTAGTCTCAGGTTAAACCATGATTTTCTTTTATTTCTGTATAACTGGTTAGGTTATTATTGAATGCTTAAGTAATATATAGGTGGTTGAAACCTATAAAAAAAAAGAGGTAAACCAGGTATAATCAATCACCTATATCATTATGTTTCTTAAAATATATTTAATCCTTTTTTATTTTGTTCCTCAGAGTATCAGAGATTGAGTACTATGCCATGTTGTCCAAGACTGATGTTTTCCAATATTCGGGCAACAACATTGAATTAGGTACTGCATGTGGTAAATACTTCAGGGTTGCCACGTTATCAATCACCGATCCAGGCGATTCAGATATCATCAAAACTATCCCTACTGACCAAGCCAACCAATAATTACTGTATATTTTGATTAAATAAATATTATTTCTCAGGATCAGTATTTATTTGTATTGTTATAGTTATAAGAATGACTCTTTTGGTTGTTTTCATCTTAGAAACATACACATTACGTTCAAGAGAATTGATTTTGTGTTGTTATAGGTGATATTAAATCATTATGAAAAAGTCTCACCCAATCTTGCAATTGTTCAACATCATATTATCATTTAATTTTGTTAGTTTAAATATTAAACTTTTTAAATGATTTTGCCTATTATTAAATTTAAGGGTATGACATATCTCTAATTTATTTAAGATATAGAAGTCTTTTTATTTTGAAGAATTAAGCCCAATAGTACCAATGAATATTACTGCATCGTGAGGAGATTTGTTTGTACAATATATATTAGGTTTTCTTTTATTATTGTAAATATTTATTAAATCAATTATCAACTTTTAACTAAATTATCAATGTGTGTCTTAAATTAAACATATTTAAATTGTTGATGATTATTGTTAACAGTTTGAAAAATTTGTTTTTCTTCATTTTAATTCAGAAAATATTTAAAATACATTATACTATCATTCATTTTTTAACAAAATCTGAAAACTCATTTTCAAATTATTAGACTTGGCAATGTTCTTCATACTATGATCAGTAATTTGTGTATTTCATTCAAAAGAAATGTATTTTTAAATTAGACTTCAAACAGGTGAAAAGCTTAATTTCAATATAGTGTAAAAAATTTATTTATTTCAAAATTTTTTTTATATTTGATAGATTTGCTTATACTAAACTAAACTTTAATGTTTTTACACGCATAATTTGTTAAAAATTTAATCTATTGCTTCTTAATGCATTGTTTTTGCTTTTAGCTTTATAAATATTTTGTTGCTTTTCTATGCTTATTAGATTGAAAACTTGGCTGAGAAACCNTACATCTCACACATTGACAAGGCAAAATAGTCAATGTAATATTAAATGCCTAAACACTACTCCTTAAAACATGCCATGCTCCAGCCCCCTTAAAGATGACATACAACACTTGAGTGCTCGGGAGGGGGGGGGCGAATGGGGAAGTCGCCCCCTCCATGATCTTTATTTTCTTTCTTAAAATGTTCATTATTTATATTAAAATATAATACTAGGAAAAAAATATAAAAGTACTCTGATATAGTGATATTGCATATTAAACCAAAAAATGGATTTCAAAGAATAATGACGGTAAATAATACAATTATTATTGTTACACTTTTTGTCAAAAATAATAACTAAATTGATAATTTTAAGTTAACTTCTTTATTTAAACAAATGAAATTCCTAAAGATGTATTTAGTGCCATTGAAGATAAGTTTTTTTTCCCTTAATTAAAAAGCTTTTGTTGATATTGGGAACTTTACCAATAAGTATTGCTTCAGCGGAACATAGCTTTTCAACACTGCGCAGGTTGTATTTTGCGCTATAATAAAAATTTTTATATTAATTTCATTATATCTACCTATTCTATTGCTTCTTAATGCATTGTTTTTGCTTTTAGCTTTATAAATATTTTGTTGCTTTTCTATGCTTATTAGATTGAAAACTTGGCTGAGAAACCAAATGAGTCAAGCACATTTAACTGGTTTGGCACTTATGAATATTCATAGCAATGTGCCTTTAGATATTGATAGTATAATTAATCGCTTTGCTAAATCTAAATACAGAACCGATTTTATTCTTTGATTTGTACATTTTTTTTGTTGCTTTTTTACTATACATTTAAAATAATATTTATTTTGTGTGTTAATTTTCATTAATTTAAATTTAATTAATTTAATATGTACACAAATATTTTAATACTGTGACTGTTAATTAAACTTTGTTTTTTGTATCTATAACTATGCCTATGTCAGATGCCCTAATGACATTAAATACCCCGAGTTAAATCAGGTAAAACACCTAGTAATTGGTGTATTTTCATATATATAGGTAATGTATGTAGTTGGCCCCCCCCCCTATAAAAGGGTCTAGGGAAGCCACTGTGAGTGCTTGATGTTAGCTGTTATAATGTAGTGACATGGGTGGATAGGTCATTTTTGGCCTACCGGAAAATTTTAAAACGGGGCCTCCACATGAATTTTTTTAAATAATATATGATATTAAAGGGGGGCCCACCAGGAAATGCCCGGTAGGCCAATCTGTAGTGATGTACACTGACTGATGCTGATTTGTCAGTTAGGTACACCCATAGACCTTTAAACTTTTATACAATAATATAATTTATAAATATTTATTATATTATTTTGTATAATACATCTGTTATAGTTTATTATGTACACCTATGTCCTGTATGATATAAAATGTGTCACTAAAAATTACACACAGTCAAAGGTATTGTTTTCAGAAAGTCTATAACTTAGAATGTTTTGACCTATTTATATTCAAATTAAATTGTTGTGCTTAAAATGTCAGTAAAAAATAAATTGTAACAGATTATGTGCAGGGCTTTAGCAAGAACCAGTAACTTTTATAACTCTTCGCTCCTGCAGAAAACCAAATTTGTGCCCCCTCATCCAAATTACGTCAAAAATTAATGACAGATTTTCTGATTTTTGTAAATTATCATTGTATTTGAATTGAGGATTTCGCTTGATGAAATTGCACTCTAGGTATAGGCGTGCGCAGGATTTTGTGTCGGGTGCAGCATACATTTTTAACCGGCCCTAATGAACAATAAGCAGCCTACTTATTTCCTTAATAAAAATCGGGGTTCCCCCCCCCCCGAATTCGCTGCACTGGTTGGATGGTTAATGCGCAATTGTCATTGTTGACTGTTGTTGTTTCTGCAGTGTTTGTAATCTAGTGTACGTCGAATTTCTCCAATATTACCCATTTATTTTTAGACTTGAATTTATAAAATAATATTATTATTTTTCATTTGAATAACGCTAAACATATATTATATTTTTAAATTATAAACTCAATAATATGTTTGAAATTATTCGTTCTATATTATAATATCATTCCATATATTTTTTTACCAGCCCACTAAATCCAATATAAATTGTCAGGCTGCAGCGAGAGCAGCATTCGCTGCACCCGTGCGCACGCCTATGACCCTAGGCAAATGCCTTCTTGCCAGTACCTAGTTACAGCTCTATATAGTATCGTATCTACGTAACTATTAAAACGAGTATATGTGGATTTAAAATTGTTAAAAAAGAATCAAACATTTGTCCCTTTATTCTTGTCAACATTCATATTTAGTCATGGGTTATAACACTCGTTTAATCTATTGTTGACTACTGAGTTTACACAAACGTAAATACTTCCTTGTAGATAATTTTCCAATTAGATTTTATTTTTCCTAAATTATATGGTATTTTAAAATAATAAACAATTTAGTACATATATATTTTTTACAAATGATATTGCTTTATTAAACAAAGTAGTATTCATTTCCTTACACTAGCATGTTTGTTGACCATTAGGGAAAGTTGTTTTCCATCTCTTGGGTCTTGTAGAGATGATAACACGAAAAAATATTTTTAATGGGTAACTAATTGTAAATATTTATATATTACTAACAACAATTATAGTAGCATAAGAATTCAACAAGGGGTAGTCATTCAAAGAAAAAATAAGGAAAACATAATAAATAACAAGGGTTAACATAAATCACCAAAACCAAACATAACAACCCCCTGAGAATGATTAATATATCATAATAAATTCGGYCATGTACAATTATTTGACGGTAGAATGAATTATTTCTTTAGCCACATTCATTATATCAAGAGCACCCTTAGTTATTAAATTCTCTGCTAGATCTGTACCCAATTTTAATGCTATATCCAAATCTAAATAACTAATTTTCCCTGGTGTAACACCTACAAATTGTCTAGGTTGTTTGTATGGACATTTCTTTGGTGGTTCTCCATCTTCACTTCTGTATTGATCAATATGGCTCTGTATAACTTTTTTATCTGCCAACTCTGCAGAAGATGAACACTGTAATTCTTCTGCACCATCAAGGCTCCACACAGCACCATCCAAAGACATAGCATTTTTTGTTAAACAAACAGTAGACCTTATACCAACAGGTGCACTGCATCCTCCGCCTAATCGTGTAAGGAAACCTCTTTCTGCAACAACCTAAAGGCAAATACAACAATGTATTGAAAACATGTTAAATTTGAATTCAATGACATATCATTGTCTTTGAAAAACTAAGCTATTGGTACAAATAATATTATTTTAGCAGTTAAATCATTATAAATATATGACATTAAATTATGAAATATAACATCTTTCAATTTTTAATAATAGTTAAATATATTACTTGTAAAACTGTTTCATAGTGATGCAATGGTTCCAGCATTTCTAAAATATAATCGTCTCCTAAACGACACTCGACTGCTAAAGCTCCTTGTCCGACAGCATAAAGCATAACATCCGAATCAATTATTTGGGACACACGTTTTTCCCACCCCATCCTTTGAATACCAGCCAACGCTAAAATTATGCCACTATAATTTGTATTTGTGTTATCACTAGTAGATTGGCTAATATCCAATTTCTTCAATCTTGTGTTCAAATTTCCACGTACATCGGACACTTGAAGATTAGGAAATTTTCTTTTCAACTGAGCTGTACGTCTTAAAGAACTAGTTCCTAAAATCAAAATATAAATAATACCTAAATATTATTGCATGCAGCCTTTCCAGCGACTAATTTGATGATGACTATTATAAAATAATGTCTAAATTATGTAGAAATGATAGTTCTCTAACTTTGCTCTAAAAAAGGTTGTTTTCTTTAATATCAACAGTGCCAATAAAATCACATTTTATTTTAAGATTTTAAGATTTTTACACCAACACGGTTTTTAAATAAATATAACAGACTATAAGTAGGTACTCCTAATTCGTATTATATTATCGGACAAGGTTTGAGTAACTTTTTATTGTAATTTATACTAAAATTATTAAAAATAAAAAAATTGTAGATTTATTGCCCTTTTTATAGAGCATTTTTCGGGGTTTTTTAGGGCATTATTTAGAGTTTTTAGGTCATAAAAGCATTTTTTTTAGRACATTTTTCGCAGGTTTTGAGGGAATTAAAATCCCAGCCTTAGTAATAACCTAATGTTCATACTTTTCAGTTGAATGAATTGTTTTAACAGTGTGTTACTTTTAATTTTTAAATAAAATTCTTAACAAGTTAAACCCAAATTCTATGTATRAYATTATTTTMTGTTTTATTATTAAACAAAATAATATTAAAGTTATTTTCTCTTGTCTTCCATAAACYGGGACACCAGGACATGCTGTTAAAACCAAGACAGTCCCGGTCAAACCGGGACAAATGGCAAGCCTAATAATATAGCAAATTTCACCATCAGCAGATCACGCTTTGTTCTGTTAGGTTAAAAGTTAGAGTGAATTGACCTCTCATAAAATTTAAAAGTTAGAATATTATTTGGACGACTTCATGGGCGTTTTACTATATTTTAATTTTGAAGTGAGTTATAAGTTTTTTAAGATGTACAAAAAATTTACAATTTTAAAATACTAATAACTCGCTTCAAAATTAAAATATAGTAAAAAGCCCATGAAGTCGTCTAAATAATATTCTAACTTTTAAATTTTATGATAGGTCAATTCACTCTAAGTTTTAAACTAACAAAGCAAAATGTGATCTGTTGAGCGTAAAATTTGCTATGTTACGCACTTGTAAGACTGAGACAACACATGCGGGTATCACGTCCTCTTAAAACAATGGCAATTTTTAATCTGTAATCAGTTATTACGCCATAACTATTAACAAACTCTAGTAGATACTAAATATTAAATATATTGATTATGTGAGGTTTTCAACCGGTAAAGAAAAGCTATTTTAGTGTGAAATTCAATTATATTTTTAATTTACTTAAATATAAGTTTATTATACCTATKAGAAAAAATGATCATATTTGATTGATTTATAATTTTTTAAAGTTTAGTTATTAGTGGAGCATAATACACATCAAGAGATATGCAAAAAAAAAAATGTAGAACCATGTACTACAAAATTTTATCCTTACCACATTAAAATTCAGTTTACTTGTTTTGACAATGATAAAAAAAAAAAAAAAAAATTATGATAAATGATTTGTCTATAATCTATAATTTAAATACTTTTGATTGTGATTAGTCATCAGGACATATTACATAATAAATATATTATTAACAGCAAAACGTATAACAATTTACATATAATCTGTGAACATACCTAAATTTTTAAGAGGTTGGGGATACAAGATGATTCACCAAGCATGCTCGCCTCATAATTTCCAATAATGGAGCTATTAAAAACCTGATTTTTGAAAATTTTAAATATACTTTAAGAGCATATTAATATTATTAAGATGTTTTGTACTATTAAGGAGTATCCTGCGATTCGAATTTTTGTTTTTCAAATGAAAATCCCCTTTTTTTCTATTAATTATTTAACAGATATTTCTGAAAATGTTGAAGTATCAAAATCAAATTTTAACAAGAAATTTTTGAAGTAGTTTGTATTCTAAGGATTAAAGGTCCATAATAATGGATTTGTAAGGTGTAGGGAGGGATTATAGCCATAAATTTCAATAAGTAATAACTGAGAAACTATTCATTCAAATTTTGAATTAAGTAGGTACATCAACATTTGCAGKAAAAATATC